TGTCACAAGGAACTGGCTGAGACTTGCAACATGCATGTGGAGCAGCTGATGGAGGTGACTGATCTGGGCAAGGAGGAAGTAAACAGGGTGTCACTTGAGTTTTGCAATCCAGATGTGGCCCCTGTGTCTCCAGCTTCTGTAAGGGGCTGAGGAGCTGGCAGTGACCTTAGTCCCAACAAGTTGCAGTGGATCAGGAAGATGCTTCTTGCTGGGTTCTACCACAGACAACATGCCTGAGGTGCAGTCAGCCCTCACGGGGGCTGTGACCTGCCCTGGGCAGCAGCTCAGGCTGAGCTGCCTCCTGCTGGTTCCTTCTGGGAAACGGCTGCGGTTGTGCAGAGGCAGGACTGGGCAGGACGGGACAGGGCCCGCTGGCACCGCGGCACAGAGCCGGGTACAGGGGCACGAGAACCCAGCCAGGACCATGCTGTCCTGGCCTGGGCCAGGGAGGGACATGTGGCTTCTTCTCATCTTGCCAACCCTGCTTACACCTTCACTCACCTTTACCATTAGTCACGGAGCTGCTGGCCCCAGAAGCGTCCCTGGGCAAGGGCCCTGCTGCCAAGGTGGCTCCATCCACCGCCGTCCTTCAACAGCACCAAGGGGCAGAGCTCAGCTGGGTGTGGGAGCTCCCAGTGCTGCCCAGGCACTGGTGCAGGGGCCCTACCTGCCAGGGTCTCTCCCTCACTCCCGCTGGCACTTTGATCCTCGGCCTCCCCAGGGGGCTCGGGGCTGTTGCCTCTGTCCCAGCGCCAGGGCCGTTCCTGCAGCTGGGACAGGGTGTGAGGCCCTGGTGTCCCAGAGGGGACAGAGGGGCCTGGGGGTCTGCGGGGGACTCACCCTTTGGCGCAGCCCCTGCAGCTCCCGCAGCAGCTCCAGGAACCGGCTGCTCCACAGCAGCTTCTCGGCGCCCAGCTCGGTGCAGAGGTAGCGCACGTCGGCCTCCAGCGCCTCCAGCCTCCCCAGCACGGTCTGGCTCCCACCCTGCGGGGCTGGCACCACAGCGCTGCTCCCACCGGCCTCCCCACACCCTCTGCCTGCCCTTGGCACCAGGACCCCCCTTCTGCCCAGCCCGGGGACCCACCTGCCTGCCCCGAGTCCAGCGCAGAGTCCCTGTCGTCTTCCTCGCTGCCCTCGCTGCCGCTTTCCAGCCTCCCCTGCAGCGCCGAGCTGAGCTGGAAGCCACCCCACAGCTGGGTGACATGTGCAGGGGCAGAGCAGCCTGGGGGGCTCTGGCACCAGCCCTGGCCAGGGACCCTGCCCTGCAGCCCCCTGGCACCATAGGACCCCCATCGCACCGTGTCAGCGGCCTCAGACACATCCTGCAGGCCGGAGCTCCCCGCAGCCCCGCGGTGCTGGACGTGCTGGGGCAGTTACCTCCTGGTGAGCTGGGAAGATGCCGTCCCAGCAGCTCTTGAAGCAGATCAGCAGGCACTGGGGGAG